CCCAGGTGCGGTGCACCAGGCTGCCGGCCCCTGAACTTGAGTGTGCGCATCCGCTGCGATAGTGACTGGCAGGGCACGGTGGATGTGTATTTTCCTGACTTGGTGGATCAAGTGGGCCTCTTTAGCTCGACATCTTGGGGCATTTGGTCAATCCGGTGCCCCCCCTGTATTGGGGCATTTGGTGTCGACTTGGGTGGGTCAAGTGGATTCGTGTCCCGAACTGGGTCAATCCCCGGGCATGTGGATGTTCTTGTTTGTGTCCGGCAGCCTGGGAGTCGCAAATCCAAGTGTTCCTCAACTGGGTGAAGGTCTCCGCACGGGGGGACGATTGGGGTGTTTTTTTTCCAAGAATTGACTCCACCTGGTGAACAACTCCACCTGGTGAACAACTCCACCTGGTGAATCCCCTGCCGAAGACGGAATTTTTGGGGCTGGGTTCCACAGCAAAGCCTAAGGTGATCAATGCCACAACGACGTGGACGGTGCCGCGTGACCCGACAAAGAACGGCGCAATGAAAAGAAAACACGATGACCAACTCCAGCCTATGAAGTTGGGGGGGGCAAACGCAATGTATGACAAACATCGTAGAGCAGTGGCAGAGAGGCCCTGATTGGCCACTGAATTACATGTCCCCCACGCGTTTTCCCCCGCGTTTCTCCTGGCTTTCTGGATGTGATGTGTAGATTTTTGGATAGGGTGACTCCCCAGAACTGGGCATGTGGAAACCAGGTTCACAGCGAGTCGAGTCGCATGTGACTCTGCAGATCTCTTTGAAACCTGGGGTCGCGTGACCTGAGCTCGCTATGAACGTACGTCTCCCTGCCGAAACCAACCAAGCAACGAGGTACACCATGGGCGGCGCGGTGTACGATGCCGCGGGGCAGCAACTCTGCAATGGCACCATCTCTCGCACCGCCCAGGCCGAAACCGACTGGTGGCTGCAGATCCCTTTGCACTCTTGGCAATGCTGAATTCTGGAGGCAATGTGGCTGTGTATGTTAATAGGGAGACTCCCAATTTTCATCCACAGCCATGTCTTTACAGGTAAAAAGTTGCGGCAGATCAACCGCTGCCGGTTTTTTACATGTAGTAATATGATATCTGATATATGTATTTGTGTGTTATGGATTTTTGTCAGGTCGGTCTAGCATTTGGTCCAGGTCCTTGACCAAATCCAAGGCATTCCTGCCCAGTGCTGCAGGAGAGCCAGCCAGATCATGGTGCTGTGTACCTGTCAATTTGGACGAGCAAATTAGTGAAAGTGCGCTGGGAGCAGCACCCAAGTGCTACATCCATCAGTCGAGGGCTCCAGTACAAGACGGAGCTATTTCAACAAGATCCAACGGCGCATTCTTCCGATGGTTTGGTCGATGCAGTGCCCCCAAGTCAACTTCCAAGTTGGAAGGACCTCCCCTGCACGAGCGCCAGCAGCTGCAGCAGCGATGACTCTTGCGACTGCATCAGTGGCTGTACCTGCCGAAGCTGGAGTGGTGATTTCTATGGCTTAATGGCAACTCTCAGCATGCAGCCAGTTTAGCCAAAGGCTCCTGGCTTCCCACAAGTTCAATTTCGGGTCAGTTACAAAGACTGGCCTCTCAGATGGCTATCTGTATTTGCTATCCTCGAAGACCTTCAGCAGCAAGGTTGCAGAAGGATAGGCTTAAGTTACATTTCATTTGATCTTTGACGCTCTTTATATATTGTGTTCATTCTTGTTCTTTGGCGACTTCCAGGCCTCCCCCAACTGAACTGCCTGACCAGTGTCTCTAAGACAGGATAGAAAGGTCAGGTTTAGACGTGTCATTGCCTACGAGCTCCAAATAGGGATCCTTGCGAGTTTGGGGATGCAACGGTTGGAGCCTTGATTGAAAGTGCTGGGTGGCTGGTCCAGGCTCGCTTCAAGCGGCCGCACGCGGCAACAACAAGTGTCAGCATCCTGTACAGCTGAGTTTTGAATCAGGAGTGTTGGAAAACTGGAATCATTTTTGCTGGAGGTACTTCAAATGGACAAAAGACCTAACTTTTATGTGTGCCTGTGTGTCTCAAAATAGCGGGATGTCTTTTAAAAACGAATAATAGACATATAAAATAAAATATATAATCAAAAAACAACTCATTGGGCCAGGGATGGTTTCCATATAGGCAGCCTTTTTCTTTCACTACATGGTCCCTTGTCCCAACTGCCATGCGCCAAAAAGTCTGCCACTTCCAAAGATTCCTTATGCACCCATTTCTATCCTTTGGGAGCTCACGTGAGGTCATCCACTCCCCTGAAATCGTCATGGTGACGTGGATGGCACCACCACCACCTGTTGGGCATTCAGAAAACTCAAAGTCATGCGAGTCGAACTCGCGCCCCATGCCATCCACTTTTCCCGTGATTGATTCTAGGATGGTCTATAGGGAGTGTCTCCAAGATGTTTCATGGCACATCTTTCGAATTCTTGCGATCTGGAAACGACCGTCCGGGGATTTGGAATTTGGTTCATGGGATGCGTTTTGTCCCATTTCCATGTTTTTTGTTTGCAGATCTAACACTAGACTGCCTGCTGGCAGTGCTTCCTGGTCACAGGAGCCGGAAGCTCAGACCATGTCGGATGCCGAAGTAGCAGCTTTGGTGATGCCGCTTGGCTCATTTGACATTGGGCAGGTGGCCATAAACGGGGTACTAGTGTCATACGCAAACGCACCATGTACAGTATATATATATATATATGTGTGTGTAACATATATGCCTGCATTGACCCCCCCAAAACCGGCATACATGGAGCGTTTGGACTATATGATGCTATATGACCTGGATCATCCGTTTCGGGTAGACCCGGCTAGAGGCTCGCTTACCCAGCACTAAGTGATGGATTTTGCGCATGGATCGACAGGGCCCACGAAATCAGCTTGGGATTCTTGGCTCAACGGCTGGCCTTGGGCCAACGCGCCGCCAAACGCGACACCAAACGCCCCCCCGAGCTGTTTAACATTGTTTAACTAAAAACCAGGTCAAGCATTGATGGTCTTGGATATAGGGATGATATATATTGGGAGTATCACCGGGTTATGCGTTTGTTTGTTCTTATTTTTTCCCCGGGTGATGGGTGAGGTATATTTTCCCCTTTAGGTGTATTTTCCACCGTCAGCAGTAACGCGTCCACCTTTAGACAACGAAGCTCGCACCCGTCGCCCGGCCACGGGGGCCACCCTTCAGGCAGCTTGAAGAGTTGGAAGCCCCGGAGGTGGACCCCAGCTTGTTGGTGGCGTCGCTCCGCTTCACCCGGAAGCCGCAGGGGTTCCCCCCGCGCGGGGGCGGGCGTTGGAAGCCGCGGGGGGAACCCGCGAGGAGGAAGGGGCGCGGATATCTGCAGGAAACCCGTGTGGGGAGGGGAGTGCAGCGGTTTTCGGTGCGGAGCGGGAGGTGAAATTTTTGGGACATGTGACGGTGATGGAAGTGGCCCTTGGCCGAAAGTCAGCATGTGGTAGATGGGATTTTCTTTGGATGTTGGATACTGTTGGTGATGTGGAATTCTTTGCGGAATAGAGCGTGATACTGTAGATCATGTTTATACCACCTATGAACCAGTCAGTGTGGGGCTGAAGGGGCCAACCAGACCGCAACATGCAGTACATCAGTACATCAGCTTGGTGCCTTTCGCGGAAATGGCTCCATCATTGGAGTGAACATGGCATCAGTTTTTGCTTCCCACCTTCGGAACAGCATGGGAACATGCTGCTGCCTTTGCCCACTCTTGTAGGTCGTAGGACTCATCTTTGGAAGCTTGCGGGATCGGTTATAGTGGGTTGGTGTTCGGTGTTTAGCCCCCTAAGTCATGCCCCAAGTGCTAAGGCAGTTTCAGGAGTACCAGGACAAGTCGCAAACTTAGGGGTGGGAGATCATGTGTGGATGACAGGATGACCAGGGTCTTTGTCATACCCACTCTTCCAGGGGGCCAGACACGAGGCGGAGCCCGCCGTTTCCAACAGGATGGACGGACCAGATTCTTTGACGTTGAAAGTGGTGCTACAAGCGCTCCCTGGTGTAGTTCCAGTTCTTTTAGGGAGTATTAAATTGGGTACTGCATGTGGGTCGAAAGATGTTGACGCGTGTGCGTGTCTTTTTCTGCAAGGGCAGATGGGTACGCCAGCTTGGGAGGGTTTCACAAAGAGTGTGTATATAACATATAACATTATATAACGAATTTTTGTCTCCATGGCGACGCTGTTTTGCTTAGGTGATGTTTCCTTTCCCTATGAATCACCTGGCGTGGCAAAGATGTTAGATTCTTTCCGGGTCTCAAATCCGCCAATGCTAGTCATTTGCATCCAGCCAACAGCAACACTTTAGATAGATATCATAGAGCTGAATTAAAAGGGTCACGTCCAGGACCTTTCTGACGGGCAGGCATTTCAACAGGTGTTGTGGGATCTCCGGAATTCTCTACTCTGAGAATGCGGACAGCCTGCACCTCCCGGGTGTTGCTTGGTTTCTGGCACGAAGAAGACATGTTCAATCAAAGAGACAACCATGAGACAACTGAGTCAATGAACAAAGCGAGTCAGATGTGCTGGCAGCCACTTAATGCTCACAGCTTCGGTGCACGAACACGAGTTTTGAAGAGATCAAGGTCAAGAGTCAAGACGCTTCAATGAAATTAATCCATCAATGTGCCAGTAGTTTTTTGGTCAAGCAAACCATCCAGGCAGTCAGAGCTTTGCTTTTTTTGTTGAAGCCATAGAGGCTTTTTATGTCAAGGAAACCCATCCAGGTCAGAGCTTTGCTGTTCTTTTTTGGCACCGACGTAAAAACTGGCCGGCGGTGATGTTCTCACCGAGCTTCTCTCATGGACAGACTTCCTCTGGCATATTGGTCAGAGTTGCATAGTCTCCCCTTCATCAATCCATGGGAAAGCTAATTAATCATACAATTTGAACCTGGATCCTTTGAACTACAATTTCAGACGTCTCATGCAAAAATCAGACCTATCCACGGATGACGTTTGCCTTCATCCGGCGCATTCATCTTGGCGCCACGAACTCCTGCTGCATCCGCCATGCCCAAGACCGCAGACCACGAGGAACGCGAGGAACGACGCGATGAAGGAGGAGGAACGGGTCGGAGCCGCGCCGGGAACACGCGTGCGACGTCGGGAGCTGCGGAGGGGGTGTTTGGTTTGGCTGCATTGCGAGCGAAGTCCAGAGAGCCGACGGTTTCATCAATCATGGGCCCTGGGATCGTTTGGGCCCTGGGATCGTTCTACAAACATTAGGAGCAGCATATAGAGGAAAACCATGGAACACCTACATTTGCCTGTGTGCTGCTCAGCTCTTTCAGAGGTCACAGATCAGTAGGCCGTTCATCAACCAATATTCCTTCACTGCCAGGCTCTTGGGAGGCTGCCGAAGCCTACGCCCAGCGCTGCCAGCGTTTGAACCTGCCGCTGGAGCCCACCATCGCCGTATGGCAGCTTGGAATCAGCAAATGGAGGAGTTGGAGTACATGTCACAACTCTGCCCACCAAAAGGGGGCACAAGCCATGGGAGACGTTGGGACGTTGGGAGATGGACAGGGCATGTTTGTCATCGACCGCATCGATATGTGGAACCACCCTATGGATCCACATGAGAAAGTAAGAATAAAGAAAGGGCGGACCGTGGACCCTTGAAGTCAGTCCGCGGAAACTGAATGGGGTAGTTGCGAAGTGACTTTACAAGCCCGCCGGGCACGTGCTCTAGAGCGCAAGACCTCCTTCGCAAGAGTCTTAACATGAAAAGTTGAGTCTCGACGCTCAAGACTTCCAGGAGGAAGAACGTGTGGTAACAACTTCACTCGCGAACCTCACTGACATGACTTCTCTTTCCCATTCCGGCGGATTAATTTCCACCCCGAACGAAATTATGCACTTTATCATGCTTACTTCGAGGGATTTCGAGCAATCCGCCGGAATTCCACTCTGATCCTCTGTAGGGTTCCAAGGTCATGTATTCACAAGCTTGTTGCCAACTTTTGCCCCCTCTGAAAAATAGGCCAGGAATGGCAAAGATTTTGTGCAAAGTGGCCTTCCAGACAGCCATGCCAATTTCATGCTTAGGTTTGATTGGTGCAGTTTCACCTTTTTGCTGAAAATCTCTGGAAGAGAGATCTAATTCTACTAGCTGCTAGCTGTTGGTGGGAGGCAAGAAGCTGGGGGGAATCAATACTGTATTTTTTGTTCAAACAGGGAGCCGCTTAGAGCACTTGACTAGACGTTGGTACCTCCCAACGATTTCCAAAGCTACAAAGTTGCTACCACTCTTCTCTGAGGCTCTAGCTACCTCCGTTTCGGTTTGGTGGTTGGTTCAAGTTGGGGTGGGTGCCAGGACTGGTCTTGTCCCTACCTTCGGCTCGGATGCGGATGGGGTGATGGTGCGTTACCCCTCCTGAATTTTTATGTTTGTTTCCGCGGGATTTCTCGGGCATGGGAAAGATCGATGAATTGGTTTAAGGGAACATCCGCAGGAAACCCTTGTGGCTGAACCTCCAAAACTCTGGCTTTCCTGTCGGTTTTCCATGAAACCAGTTCTGGGAGAAGAGGTTCTATGTTTGCCAGGTGCATCGACAGCACCAAGAGAAGATGTCTAGCCCAAACCCATTGGACTGAAACTTCACGAGTCGAAGATGTGGGACAGGAGCGTTCATTCTCTACTCGGGGAGGCTTTGGTGACAGTCAATTCAATGTGAAATGTATTGTAAATACATATGTAACTTAACAAAAACTATAATACACAACTATGAATATTTTTTTACATATCAATTGTTTGTTTTTGTATCCACACATCAAGAAAGAAAGAAGGAAAGGAAAGGAAAGGACAGGAAAGGAAAGGATGACACAGACAGGCAGACAGACAGACAGACACAGACAGACACAGACAGACACAGACAGAGACAGACAGACAGACAGAAAGAAAGAAAGAAAGTACAGAAATACACGATGAAAGACAAACATATTACAATAGATAGTTATAAGATATATAGTTAGAAAAGATACTGTATCCTCTATGAGGAGTGGATTTGTGTGCGAGTCTTTTTTCTCCGACCTCTTGGGCCACTCTCGAGTTCCGGTGGCCCGTTCAGCCCGCGTTTTCTTCCAAGGCTCCGTTTCGGTGGAGCAACCCTCCAGGCCCGAGACAGCGAGTTGGATCCCGAAACAGCGAGTCCGGTGGGTGTAGCTGACATCATCATGCCCAGATAACTATACAGTGGTTTAGAAGGACCCGCATATGATAGACATTTTTGGGTTTGTGCCATCTATGAGAAAAAAAACACTGTAGAACACCAGACTTGACTTGTTCTGTTCGTTTGGGAGCCGTTGATTGATGTGTTGTTTTTGAGGAACCTACCTTGAAAAAACAGCTGTAGAGGCCTGTGTTATTTCTAAGAGCGGGGAATTGTTTTCTGGTACGTGCAAACTCACATCGAACCAGAAGATGCTGGTGAGTTTGGATGATGACCTGCAACTGATTTAGCTTTGTCACGGGCCAAGGCCTCTCAAGAGAATGATGGCCTTGTTGTTGAACTATGTTGCACCCTCCACTCATGTGCGAAACAAGGCGCCAGGATCAACCATTTGGTGTGTCCAACAGACATCAACAGACTATCCGAGACCATTTCGGATTCCCTTGGGACTGGCAGCACAGGATGTTTGTTTCCTGGCCGAGGTGCCATCACACAGCTCTTTGCTGCCGGCCTGTGACTTCTTAGCTCAAGGACAAGGCGCAGCTCTCACGGTAGGTTTTGATCCGAGGAAGGGTTTGGTTCCATACGTATGGTCTCTTACCATATCTCACCCACGGTCAAAAGTGCTGTGAAACTCCTGGATATGGTACACGCGCAGTTCGGTGATTCATACTACCACGTACTAATTCGTTGGATGAGCCCAGTGGCCGGGTTCGTGGCTTGTAACACATGCCCCCTGATTGAGTTCCTGTGAACCACACTTAAGCCATGAACAAAAACACAACGTAACGAAGCCATGACCCCTGGATAACTGCTTAGTGGTGTTCCTTTACTCTTAGTTCTGGGTACACTCTGACGAACACATGACGTGGAAGTGGATGGCATGGCCTCTTGGAAGACTACTTTCCTCTACAAACAGTGGGTTTTCGACTTCCATGTTAGTGAGTCGGAGCGTAACTCATTTGTTCACTATTTGAATCAACAAACACATGGGTAAACGTAGGACACACCACTCCCGTCGGCCCGTCTCCCTCCAAGCACCCTGTGGGATGTGCGCCATGTGAAATGACTGCCTATGCCAGGGTCGCACTCAAATACATCTAGTTCAAGAAGACAAATCACTCAGGTACGGGCCAGTTCATGCGGAAAAGGGGTGGCCAGTTCGGTAAAGCCCTTGGCTTTTCCGCAGTCCTCACACTCACCCTCAGCCTTTTGCTCAGCAGTCCTCGCCCGTTTTCCAGGCTTGAAAGCCCTCAGCTTCCGCTCGGCGGGCTTCGCCGCCCGTGGCACGGGCAATGCCAACGCGTGCCCTGGCCGCGTGCCGCGCGTTTCCAGCGCGCTCGCCATGGAACTCGTAGGGGGGGCCCGAAGACTCGGCGGTCATCGTTTTTGTTGGTAGACTCTTGATTCAATTCATCACCCAATGGGATTAAAATGGATTAAACAAACCTCTCCCCAATCGGAGGAATCAGATGGAAATTTCACCCACCCCAAGTGGATTGACCATGAAGAACCTCTTCCGGTCCATATGGCATGGGGTCCTTGATTCATCGCCTACTTGTCTCTGAAGCAGAGTGGGACCGGTCTTCATGCTTCAGCGGTTTCCGGGATCAACGAGGCCAGGAGCTTTAGCCATGAGCCATGCATGGGTGGAGCGTACCATGTGCGAAACGATGGCCATGGTTGGTGTCTGGACCGACGCCTCCGGGCCGAGGTCCTTCGGTCGGATCCACGGGATTCGTTTGGTGCGGCGACCCTTTCCTCTGTCCTCCTTGCGTATGGGCGAAAACTCTGTTCGTGCCAGGCAGCTAATTACGACCATTTAGTGCGACGGGGGACCATTTAGAGACAAACATCTCCCAACGCTACCAGAAGAGTCTCGAACACATCACCGTACCACAAAGGGTGTGGACGTACAGTCACAGACCCTTGCCGAGCAGCGCATTCGGCTTAACCCTCCCTGGAATCAAGGAAGTGGATGGATTCGGAAAATTGCAATTTTCGGGGCCATACCATCCAGTTCCATGATATATAATTCTAGGGAGTGGAAGATTTTGTTTGTGTGAAGGGGCTGCTGGGGATTCTACAACTATCCTGTGAGTTACAAATTACATAATTAAACAAACACCTTCTCAGGGTCAATGGAGCACCGGTGGCAGAGAAGGTCCTGTTTCATGCTGTTATGGATTTGTATTTTTTGGACTATTCTTAGAGTATTTAAGTTTGTTGGTTTATTTATCACTTTCCAGGAGGGTGCCGTGTACAATTTGACATGAACACGTTATTGATTGTGCTTATTATTTTGACGGAATTCTTTTGCGCCCGTGGTTCTCCAGCGTAGTTGATGGTTTTGTTTTTCCATGGTTTTTCTCCAAGCCCTTAATCCACTCCAAGTACTTGGATCATTCGATTCTTGAATTCCATGTGCAGGTTCCCTTTTTAGAATGAGGAGTTGAGGAGTTACTCTATACTCTCATACTCTCTCTCTCTCTATGTGTTTTCTGGACCCCCACCCCATACCCACATGGCGACTCTTGCCAAACCGCATGATTCCGTTCCTCGTGGTAGCTGGCACCCCTTGACTCAGGCGAGTCTTGCGTCACTGGGCGATTTCTGTTGGGACCAGCGAAGGGAGGGCACTGGTAGTCTGGCCCTACTCCAAGTACCGGTGTTTGTACTTGGAGCCCTAGGGTGGGTGAATGCCGAGTCTTTGGGCCTTTTCCTGGCTTTCCTAACCAGATATAGCGAGTCTGATTGCCTATCAGGGAGTTTTTGGGAAAGGAATGCTTTGGGCTAAGCAAGCCTCTAGAGGAGACCTGTTTGGAGAGTGGTCCCGGCCTCCAAGAAGACGACAGAGTCCCACAAGACGATAGAACAGCAAACCTCTTTTGAGTCGAGACAGTTACTGTCACCGTCACGGTATGGAAAGCGGATTTGGTGCCTTCGTCTTCGGCGCCCAGACAACATGTTGGTAGAATATGGTAGAATGGGATTTCTCTCTTAAAGCTTCCAAGACAGGTTAAGTGACCGTAAATAGGACCCTACTGGTGTACCTATGGGATAGTCTATATATGTTCTTCAACCTTTGTTGCTTGTGCCGATCTTTGACATTCTTCAGCTTGGATCAATCTTGGATACTTCGGCGACGAGGAAACGACGAAGAAACCGATCCCAATCGCGATGGCGGTCGCCGCGGGTCCGGGTGCCGCCGCTCCAACGCTCCCCGCGCCCGAGCGAGGTCATGTCTTGGCGAAGAACACCACGCTGGAAACCTTGGACTTAGCACACTCAGGCGAGATCGGCGAGATCACGTCGTAACGTGACGTCCGTACCGTGTCAGAACCTTAGGTCAGAACACACGTCCAACGGCTCGCAGGTTCAGAACCACGCGGTACCGTACCCGCGCGACGGAGCCGCAAGAAAGCGGCTGCAAGCGAAGAACTGTGCGTGGGAAGCAGTGCAAGAACTGTGCAGGTATTTCATGGTCACAATTGGTTGGAAACAGGCACCCGAGTCCAGTTGCCTTCTTTAGTTTTCCTTGCACCCGATTCCCCGTAGCTCCCTCCTTTCCCTCCATGGATTGGATTCTTTTCCATCACCAACCAACCAACAGAGGTTGAAGGACCCTATAGACTATCCCATAGGTACCCCAATAGGAAAACTTGAAGGCATCGACATGGACGGGGTCTATGACCTGTGTGCGGGTCTCCGCTGCAACAAGACCTTGAAGAACCTGAGCTTGAGGCTGCCTGGAACGAAGGAAGGGATGATCGGAACCGGGGAGTGATGACCTTGTTTTAGAGTGTGATATCCAGTGAAACGGAGAGGGTGTGGAAGACCAGCAGGTGGGAGGATCCCAGAGACTAATTTATTATTAGATATTATTATTAGATAATATCATTCGCAATTGGGGAGCAATTTGAGAAGGATCTCTTAGAGACCTTCAATTGGAAGGTCAACTCATTGGGTGTCACGGCGTTTGCCCCCCTTTTTGTTGGCGCATGTGTTCAAAAAGGCTTCATCAAGACAGTGCACGTGCAGGCCTAGGGGGGACCCTCATGTTCAACGCAACCATGAGCATCTGGAGGAGGTTGTTCAGTTGGAGGGTAGAGCGTTCAACCAACCGTATTTCCGACCAAAGCCGTGCTCAGGGGCAACTACCTGGGTCCAGAGGCCGGGACCTCGGGTGAGAGAACTCGGGGCGGCGATCCGACACTAAGCGCCTGGCGTTTGGCTGCGAAACGAGACCGATAGACGGTGGTAGACCCTCCGTCTTGCTGAGGTGACTGGGATGTATCAATGATTTAGATTGTGGATGCCATTCATATCCATTAATGTCAATAGAATTCATTAGATCTTAGAGCGTTTGGAGGTAGATGATTAAACCCTATAGCAACCTAGCAACCTAACAACTTTTTTTGAACCTCTCAACCGCCACCCCCCCAAAGCAACAACACAATCAGACGATGCGGACGTTTGGAACCTCAGAGCCAAACACCGCGCGCTCGTCTTCTCCATCGGTGATGGGCACTGGGTGGCTTCGCACGCCGGGGGACCCGCGCGGAGCTCCGCGCGGAGCTCCGCGCTCGATGGCGCTCCTCAGGGTGGCCAGATGATCTCCGACCTGCTGGAAGAGCTCATTGCGTCGGCAGGGCCTGGAGGCGCCGCATCGGCGCCCGTTCGTAGCTCCGTTCGCAGGGATAGGCCAGCCCCTAGTAGCATCTTTGTTCCGTTCGTAGCGATGCCAGGAGCCCGCAGCGTCTGACAGTAGCGTCCCTGCTCCTCGTAGTATGGCGATGAAGAATGAAATTCTCACATTTTCTCACCCTCCAGAGCCTCCAGCCATCCAGGGAGCGGGGGAAGCAAAAGAACTCAGATTCAGCAGTTGCTGGGCCGGCCAAGTGAGTTCGACTGGCTGTTTGTTTCTTTCCGCAGAGCAGCAGTCCTTGCAATCCTTGCTCACACCGGATGGAAGTTTGAGGTGACCTATCCAGCCAATCCCTCAGTCCCACGTTTGCTTCAGTGTGTTTGCTTTATAATATACCTAGACCCTCCCGAGGCAATAATTTTTGCCGTAGGCTGTTGAGGCAATAATTTCTGCCGTAACTCATTTTTTCTGCCGTAGCTCAATCCCTGGAAAGTGAAAACGCCGTCAGAGAAGTGAAAACGCCGTCACAAAAGAAGAATCGCCGTTTTGATTGATCTACCAAAGAGGATATTGTTTTGGTCCGTCCATACCCTGAAATTGCCTTCTCCTTTTTCACTTGTAAGTAGAGCTCATCGTTTTCAAGCCTCATGGTAGCACTTCTCAAGATGTTGCAGCCCTTGTCTAAGGTCTCGATTGACATCACGGCAGGATTTGTTGACATTTTGATCATGCAATGGCTGAAAGGATCGCTTGTGACATGTTGTGACAAGTCTTGCTGCCACCTTGAGTGACCCTATAGACAGGGTAAGGGAACGACGCCGTAAGTAGGGGGAAAACGCCGTAAGTACGGGGAAAAACGCCGTAAGTACGGGTAAGAACGCCGTAACTTTAAACGCAAAATCTTCTGCAACGCCGCGCAAGAGGTCGAGTTACCCGCGAAAACCGACGAAAACCCAGCATGTGACACTTCCATCAGCTGCCCTTTCCACTTCACATGACTATGCGAGTTTGCTGATATAATAAGACGCCTTTTACGTTCAGTTGCCTTTCAAGCAAGACCCTACAATGTTTTCATACTCGCCTGCACTAAAACTAAACGAAATGACTCTTTGAGGCGCATGGATGTGTGGACCAAAATTGCCGTCAACTGACCGAAGCTGCCGCAGTTCATCAAGAAACGCCATCCCCATGAGATCAATATGGAAGAACGCCGCAGAACGGAAAAAGGCGACGTTTCATGAAAACGGCAATCATTATTGCCGTAACGAAGTTCCAGGTATATATATATATATGTTTGTCGTTGGCTCAGGCTTGACTCAGGACCTAAAGGCCAATTCAGCCTTGTTCTCCATGAGGTGTTCAGGGCAATCATTGAGGTTCGATGCAAGGGGCAGAACACTTTGATGGCCAGAAATTGGCGCAAGGGTCTGTCCGGACTTATCTGTTACAGTCAGTAAAGAGCTTGGTAGAAGGATAGACCTCTAGAAATGGCCATTCAGATCCAGGGGCCTCGCCAGTCCACTGGAAGGATGATCATCCGACCCGGTCCGCGACTGGAGCGGTGTAGGACCGCCCCGGCCGAACGGGGAGGACCGCCCACCACAAGACACGGCTGGAAGATGCTGGAAGAATGGAACTTGTTGGACATAGCATGAAACAAACAAGTTCCAAGTCCACTCAAGTTCCAACAAGATATCATACTATACTATAACATACTTATTATATGGACAAATATCAGACTATATAGATACATCATTAATATATTTATAAGGTGGAATCCTGTTCCACTCTTTCACAAACGACCTCACGACCTACTCACCAGCTATGTCCCCGGAATGGGTGATTTCAACTCAACTGCACTGTCTTCAGACCAGGCGCTCCATCCACCGGCGCGTCACCGTTCTCGGTTCCACTGTGCCGCAGGTGCGACGAGCTTGCGGGAACTGGATATCCAAGCTTGTCGAGAACTTAGAGGTTCCAAGAGAGGTTCAGTGACCGTAAATAGGACCCGTCACCTGGGGTACCTATGGGATAGTCTATAGGGTTCTTCAACCTCTGCTGGTTTCTTTTGCAAAGCTGCGCGAGGTGAGGTTGCTGTGCTAACTATGTACTAGTGCAAACTCTTCTTGAGCAGAATCTTGAATCTTGAGATGTGTTTGCCGGTGGGCTGAGCTGCGCAGCAGTAGACATTCAGAGCTGCGCAGCTTCTTCGCACCGGACTACCCTTTTGAGTGCCCTCCCTGAAATCATAGAAGTGGATGGCATGGCCCCTCTACTGAAATACCTGACGTAATCATTCAAGGGGACAACCACCCTGCTTGGTATTCGGAAAAGGGTCGGCTCAAGGGGGCTAAGGGGGCATGCTATTCACTTCTATGATTTCAGGGAGTGTAGACGTCCCAAGTCATATCGAAACAATTATGGGAGTTTAGAATTTCTCCCCCATCCGTGCGAACCTGCAAACGTATTATCAAGGCTTTATGGAAAACGCATAGTCAGGGAAAATCTATAAATCGCTCTTTGGTTGGTGTTGTTTGTTGGCACTTGTTTGTCTAAAACGTGTGTTTGGAATTCCCTTCTGAGGCTCAATTGGCACAGGCTGTGTACGGAGCTTGGCCAAGGTCGCAGGCCCATTTGAGTGTGGTGTGTTTTTGTGTTGTTTGCTTCGTGACGCAGTTGAAGCAGCTCTTATATAAATGGAGCATCTAAAAGGGATTGAAAGGGCTTTAGCCCTATAGGGGATCCACATACCTTCTCAGAAGGGACGACTGGACCCTCCAAACATGTCCAAGCCGATTCCAGAGACCTCAATGGAAGAGAGAACTGCCATCGGCAGAGCTGAACTTCTTGGATGGAGCAGTTCCGAAGTCTTTTCCACAAGGGCTGGTCTATGAACACCTGACTTTGACCCGCGCGGGCAATATGTGTGTAAAAGGCAGAGAGAGAGAGGGAAGCCAACATTATCGGTTTGATCAGTTTTGAGTTGAGTCAAATCTTCGACACGAAGCAGTACTACTGCTGAAGATCCACATGTTTCACTTGAGACTGGGAACGCAGGTTTTGCTTGAAAGGTGTTTGGTTCTTAGTTCTTTCATCAGAAAGGAATGTTCTTCTGAGGGTGTCGCTCTATTCACAGCCATTGTTGCTGGCATGTGCCTATTTCCAGGATTCAATGCCATCTACACGCGAATGCCGGCGGCATCGCAAGGGGGGGCGCCCGTGGTCAATGTCGCGCACAATTTTGAGAAGGAGCC